GACCCAAAGGGATTGAGAGGAGATATGGAACGTTCACCAACGTTCTCCTTCCAAAGTGACTCGTCCGCGCCCCTCTGCCGCGCGCTCCGACAGAGGCAGAAACGCGGCGCTGCGTAGACGCAGTAGGGTGCTGGAAGCCCAGCCGTCAGCAGGAAGGTCCTCGCAGCATCCTGTGCGATGCAGCTTGCGTTCTCCGCCACGCTGCACAAGTTTCCGAACTTCGTCGGCTCGGAGCGCGGCCTGCGTTGTTTGAGCTGATTTTCTGTTCTTTCCCCTGCAGAGCCCGCAACGTCTTTGCCCGCTGACGCGCGGGGCAGCGTGGGTCATTGGGCAAATGCGTGAGAAGGAACTGCTTGGAGACAGTCTCGCGCTTGAGGCGCTCGATCTTGGCGGCGTATCCAAGCAGATCCTGGCCCACTGGGTCGTCGGGCCCGTCGTCGTCGACAATGTCAACAGGTCCCGGCGCAACCGGCTCATCGACTTCGGCGCCGTCAGCGTCGCTGGGGGCAGGGGTGGCAGCCTGGGGCGGCAACGTAATTTCACCTTCCCCAGTGCCCCGTCGGATGCCACGCGCAACGCAGTCGCGCGATGACTCCCATATTTCGGGGCGCGTTGCCACGCGGCGCGCAGCTGCTCCAGTCCAGCTCAAGCTCGCCCCTTGTTGCAGCCCATCATGAGAATAGGCGCTCGTGTCCTGCCCGTGCATTGCCGACTCCTCGGGGGCGCAGCCTTCGTCGGCACTATCGGAGGGGCCCTCCACCACGCTGTATCTGGAGGTGTCCTCGGCGATCGCCCGTTGCGAGTGCAGCTCGAGAGTCCCGCGGCACCTCGTCGCCTGGAACGGAGGACTTTCCACTTGTCCATCCAGGATCAACGAGGAATGACCTCGCGTTGGTCACCGCACAAGTCCACCGCTCCAACCCTCCCGAGAGAACCAGAGCTGCCCCGTCTACCCGACCCAATGCCCCGCTGTCTTCCACGGTGCGGTAAAAAGATCTTTCCGTCTGCGGTGAGATCCCGTCTAGCTCATGCCGGCACTGGTAGAGATGGAGCCCCGCGGGCTTTCCAACGGACGCTGTAGACGCGGTCTATGCAGAGCTCGCACGCCGATCTCACGCTCGGAGTCTCCGGCGCGGTGATGATCTTCATGGTTCCACGTTTGAGCTTGTCGCAGGCTGTCTCGACGTTTCCGAGGGCACGCGATTGTGAGTGATGGGGCCAGCCAGGGGCTCTATCCTGTCCATCAAACCTGCTTCCTTGATAACTTGACCGCGATCAGGTTGGCGGCGCACCCCGCGTGCACGATCAACGTCGCGGCCCCAATCTTGATGATTGCTCTCCCAGCGAATGCGACGGCATAGCTGTCCTCGCGCTGGTCTGCGTGGTCGTCGCGGTCACTCTCAGAGCCCTATTCCCAATCTCGTTGGCGCACCTTGACCGAGCGCTCTCGGGTCCTGGCCCGCCCGGCCAGAAAATCCAAGCGATCGCCAGGCGTGCTCGGGGTCGCCCTGGGCTGTTCCCTGCGGGGGGCCCCGAGAGTCCAAGTGGCCCGATGTGGGGTTGCGGGGTCGCTGCGCGCCTTTTTGCGCATCGTCGCACAAAAACGCTGGCGCGCCCCGGCATCTTTGCGGAGGGCGCTGCGCCCCGGCCGCGCCCGCCAAAGCAAGTCGGCGGCATCAGCCGGGAGCGCGTCGACGCCGCCGGCCTGGATGCATCTCGGGAGTCGAACGAAAATCGCGTCGCCATGGGCGTCTGAGCGCCCCCAGGCAACGCGTGTGACCGCGGGTGCAGCCAGGTTGGCGTCCACCTGCTTAACCGATGTATAGGTCAATGGCAGCTTTAGGTGGAACTGTCATCGGGGCCAACCAGCAGCCCTGCCGGCGCCGCGAGGATCCTGACCCGGCGTGGGAAACAGCGGCAGCGACCCACTTCCCCGCTTCAGCGTCGGGGAGGAACAAAAATACATTCCCCAGCGCGCGGGCCGACGGCGGCAATGCATTTGCTGGGCGCCGATCTGGGGGATCGTGGATATCCCGGACACTTCGCGCGGCCCCGACAGCTGGCGCCGAAAGGACACGTCTGCCGAGCCAATTAAATGTCTCCAGTATTGCCTCCTCTCTTGGCCCTTTCACTTGTCCTTGCCACCCTTGTTCTCGTCGTCGCCTGGCCCGCCAGGGACTGCTTTCCTGGCCGTGCTCCTAGCGGCAACGGACACCAGATCGGAATTCCGCATGCGCGGGATGGGCTCGCCAGCCTTCTCGAGGTTGGCCTCGGCCCTATCTCTGGACAGCTCCTCGATCTCCGCGGCCTTCCTGCTTCGACGAAGGCGCTTGTCCTGGGGCAGCGGGCATGCTCCGCGACTAAACGCGTAGGACAGCCCGCCTTTGGCGGAAATCCCACTCGAAACGCGGCTCTGCGACCTTTGCCGCGAGACCTCGCCCCCGCTCTTCCCCGCGCCCCGAAACTGACTGCGCCCTCGGTCTCCAGATTTGCTACCCGACTTGTCCTTGGACATGCCTTCATCTCCGTGGTCTCGTTTTCCACGCGGCCTTTCTCGCCGTTATTGCCGGCCGGCGCGGCCGCGGGCTGTCCCGGGGCGGCTCGCGTCTGAGCGGGGCCTCATTCTTTGGATGCGCGCGGTGGCACTGCGCTCGCGCGCGCGGGCGCGCCCCCTTCGCGCGCCTGCGGCCCTCGACCGACTCGGGGCGTTCTCGCCGCCGCCGCCCCCGCCGCCTCCGCCGCCGCCGCTTCTCCCCGGCAATCGCCGGGCGTTGGGCCGCTTCTTTTGGGCGCTCGGTCGCGGGCGCCGCGGTCTGTGAGCGCGTGCCCGCTGGTCTGCCCCGACAGCCGCTCGCGCGACTTCGCGCCCTTGCCGCGGTGGTCGTTACTGTGGTCGCGCGTCGCCAGGGCCTTCGCCATGCGCGGGCTCCTCTTCATCTCCACATAGGAAAGCTCCTGCATGGATGGTCAGAAGGACTTATGGGGCTTGCCAATTTTGTCCATGATCTTCGCCCAATCACCATAGAAGCGAATTAGGTCGGCATCGGCGCCGTTGCCCGCACCGCGGATCCAAATTTCCATCAGGTCCTGGCACGCGCGCGCCTGGCCGCGGTCTTTCCGCGCGGCCACGTGCGCCGCCAATTTGCGCGAGACGGACTGGCACTTCAACGTCGCTCCCTGTCAGCATGGCAGCATCGCAGCAATTCTCTTCGCGCGCCAACTAATGCCGAAACTGTGGCGAAGCATCTGGAACTCGCGCAATCTGGTTGATCTTACTCATGGGTCTGACGCAACCATCTCAAGTCGAGTAGCCCATAGCCCCGAGTATTCGAAAGGCTCTGGCTTGACCTTTCCGGAACCTTGAGCATCCGAGACCCATGCAGCGGCGGCCTCCCAGTTCGGGAAGCGCGATGCAACGCGTTCGATGGCGCCCTCTGCTACGTTTCCGGAAGCCGGATGCATCGGGGATCGGGTCAGCGGAGACTTTCCCAGTGTCGTTCTAATATGCGAGAGGGCCAAGAGCCCCCCGTGCGCGGAGTCATCCAGCTTCCCTTTCAGGAGGCCCGCTGGGAGCCCCCCTGCATCCGCCCCGGCGCCTCGCCCCATCGCCCTCGCCCTCGTCGGAGGGGCCTCCGATTCGCCATCGGAGTCGCCGCCAGATCAGATGAGCCACGATCGCCCCCATCTGATTATCATCGCCGCCAGAGGGCCCCGATCTATGGGATCGCCGTGTCGGTCCGTTGGAGGGCGGCAGGTCACCATCGCCCTCTTCGCCCTGAAAGGCGCCGCCGCCCCCCCCCCCCCCCCCCCCGTCGCCGCCGGACCCCCTGGGGCCAGGCGGGGGGCATTCGGGAAAGATGGTCGCAGGGGCGGCGCGCGCGCGCTCTGCCGTCTCGTTTTCCTGTCGCCGTTGCGCAGCTTCCTCCCGGGCCGAAGCCGCCGCGGCAGCTTCGGCCTCTGGCTGCCTCTCGGACCGCCGAGCTCTCCCTCTCTCTCTCTCTCTCTATCTCTCTCTCTCTCTCTCTCTCTCTCTCTCTCTCTCTCTCTCTCTCTCTTTCTCTTTCTCTTTCTCTTTATCTTTCTCTTTCTCTGAATCTTTTTGTTTGTTTTTTTTCTCTCTCTCTCTCTCTCTCTCTCTCTCTCTCTCTCTCTCCTCTCCCTCTTTTTTGTTATCTCTCTCTCTCTCTCTCTCTCTCTCTCTCTTTCTTTCTTTCTTTCTTTATATTGTCCACATGTTGTTTTCATGTTTGATTGTTTTTCTCTTTCTCTCTCTCTCTCTCTCTCTCTTTGTCCTCCTTCTTGTGGGCCTCTCGTTCGGCGCGGCTCTCCGCCCCTCTCGTCGCCCCCGCGCGCCTCCGCCAGTCGACGGCGCTCTGATGTTGCAAAGACAGGACGGCCTCAAGTCGTTCGACGGTGTCATCGCGGGGCGGTTGCGCCGCCGCTGCCTCCGCAACGCTCTCGGCGGCATTGGGAACCGCCTCTGGCCACGGCGGACAATCGAAAGGCCCCGCCCTGGTGGCAGTTTGGGGCGCGATGCGCTTCTCGAGCTGTCGCCGGACCTCCTTCGCCTTCGCATCAACGTTCTGAAGCCTCATCTCGGCGCCCATCGCGCCCTCGGCGGCGCCCCGGCAGCGCGGCCGGCGCCGCCGCTCCGGGGCATCTATGCTCCCTTCACAGCAGGCCTCGTTGCAACGCGGGCAATCGCACTCATCGCGAAGCCGGCGCAAATGACGCCATCGACCGCAATTCGCCGCAACAGGGGCAGTTCCCCGGCCCGCTCCGCGTTTCACCGCTGCGGGAGAGGTCGCTGGACGCGCCGCGTCACCGTCCGCCCGCGCGAGGTGCCGCTGCGATTCCCGCTTGACGCGGTGCGCAGCTTGCCCCCGGTAAAATCGTTCGCGCTGTGACTCCCATACTCCCATGGCCTGCTCGGCCCTCGCCTCGACGGGTCGGGCCGCTGCTGGCGCCTCACGGTCAGCTCGGCATTTTGCGCGCGCGACTTGTCCCCGGGCGCCCCGTGCCTCCGCGGCCGCCCGAACGCAGGTCGAGCTGGCCGTTTCGGCCAGCATCCCCGCCTCCTGTCGGGCGTCTGCCATCGGCTTCCCAGCCATCTTCGCCATCGCCGTGCTCTGCCGCGCAGCGCGGAAGGCGGATGCCTCCGCGGCGATCTTCTCGGCCCGGGCATTCCGCGGCGCCCCCTGAGCCTCGCTCTCGATCTTCGCACCGTTCGCCTCCATTGACCAGACATCCTGGGCGGCCTTCTGTCGGGCGACGGCCCGCGCCCCGGCGGCGCCCTGGATCGCGGGCGCGGCCTCTTCCGCCGCGTTTATCTCGGGATCCCGGGCGCGCCTCTCGTTCGCGTCCGATGCCTCCACCTTGCTGACCAGCCCCCTCGGCTCAGGCGACGTTTTCCAGGACTGGTCCGAGACGACCGCTTACTGCCTCATCTCCACGTCGCGGAAGGCCTGCGCCATCCCCGCGCGGTCTGCCTCGGCCTGACGGCGCGCGGCAGCTCGCTGCTGAATTTCGACGCGCGCGAATTGCCCCCGCGCGCGCCGGCCTGGCGCCCCTTTCGACGACTGCCGCCCCGCGCTGCTCCCCCCCCCCCCCCCGCCCCCTTGCGTTCCCGCCCGCGAAGCGCCGTGGAGTTGCGGGCTGTCGGCGGGGGGCAGTCTGGGCAGCGAAAAAAACGATTGCACGGGCGGCAGCCCGACGGGCACCCGCGGCAGACTAGCCTCAGACGCCGCGGTCTCCCAAGCAACTACTCTCAGGGAACTGGCCGCAACGGGGCCCCACATTGGCGCGCGGCTCTTGGATCCGCGCACTCGAAGCATCGGATTTGGCAGTGCGAGCCGATGAAACAGATGCGCCAAATGGGGTCCTGCTGGCAAGACTCCGCGCCGCAGAATGATCGGAAAGCCGCAGAGAACTCCATGCGAGGCTCTCTCAGCGGTCGCGCGCGCGGAACGATCGGAAAGCCGGGGGCTCGGGAACAGAGCTCCCATCGCCCCCCCGCCCCCCGAGCTTGCAATGGGGGCCCCCATCAATCTCGGACCGTTTTCCAGTCGGGAAATTCACTGACACGTCGAGAGACGGCCGAGGCTGTTTGCTCGTCTCGGCCGCTCGCCGTAACGGTGGGTGCGTCCTGGTGAAAAGCTTCGGCAACTTGCCTTCGGCCGCAGGTCCGTCCATCGCTGCATCCATGCATCCAGCCCCGGGCGTCGGTCTCGAACCGATGCCGGAATGCTGATATCCCCGTGCCGTACGGGAGAGACGCGGCGTCGACTTGACCGACCCATCAACCTCCGATGATACGGTGATAGCGCCGCCTGAGACGGAGAAATCAAAAATAATGACGCATGCCTGGTTGACAGACGCCGGCAACGGGGACCGCGGGGGCCGCCTGCTGCCGTACCGCTCCATGTCGTAATCCTCCGCGGGATCGCCATCCCGCGCCGTTTCTCGGCGGCCCGCGCCACAGCTCGATGGCGAGCCTACGCGGCCAGCGGAATCTAGCCTGCTGAGATTCTGCGGACCCGCGACAGCGGCAGTGACACAAACACTGGACGACGCCGCGAGGGTCGTTTTTCCCATGTGAAATTCACCATGTCGACGCGCGGGAGATACGAGCACCATATCCTTTCCCTCAATGAAGCTATTACTGGGTCCGTAATAGTTCCGTACTTGTTTGGTCCCAACACCCCCGAGACTTGCGACACACTCGCGAGATTTCGTTGTGAACACTCGGGCAGATGGCCAGCATTTTGCCTTACCTAGTAATCTCCCTACCAGCAAAATGGTACCCGTAGGGTACGGTTTCCGATAGTCATGTTGTCGTCCTGTACTGGAATATCGTTCAACATTGGTCTCACATTGTACCTCGGAGAGGTAAGACTTGTAGACGTGGCAAACATGTCTGATAAACACATGTACTCGGGCATGTCTGTAAAAGCGCGGGCATGCCCGACCCGGGCGAGGGGAGGGCTCGTCGCGTTTTTTCCTGCTAGCGCAAGAAGCAGCGAAAAGAAACGCACATGTTGATATCATCATGAAACATTGGCATCGCCAGCCCTCTGTTGGACGGTATAGGCGGCGCGACTAAACCATGCTAGGGGAACGTTAAGAATGACTCCTTCCTTGAAAGCCTCACATATCCACCCATCCTCAGGACCCCCGCGGCACGACTCCGAAACGGCGGATGTTGACTCGCCTCTGGAGGTAAGGTTTGGCGGCGCGCAGAAAGTGTTATGGGGGAGGGGTGGGGGTTCTCAGAAAGGGGCTGCTCCTTAGGAGGCGCCGGCCTTACATGCGAGGCGGGGATTTAACCAAATCCATCGCCTGGGAACCGACGTCCCGTTGCCCCAGGTGGTGGATATGATATCGATATGGATACGGATATGGATATGGAAATGAATCTAAATATATGTATATATACTATACATATGCACATATATATATATATATGCATATATATACACATTTGCACACATTTATATATATATATATATATACATATGTATGTATATTATGTACATACATAAATAGGTCCCCAAGGGCCCGAGTATGTCCATATCCACCGCCTGCCGAGTTCCCCGAACAATTGATCCTCCAGGCGGTGGTCATGTAGAAATTCCCGTATCGGACTAGATGTATAGAGAATGAACCCGCGCCTTCTAAGCAGCAGGGCTGCTTCTAAGGAGCCGTCCCACCTCCCCCCATGCCCCCCCTCTGCGCAAAGGTGCGGCGGGCGCAGGGCGCACAGGAGCGGGCGGCACCTCGAACAACCACCTGTGCTCCTTCACCTCGATGGCTCCGCGCTGGCTGCCGAGCCGGGTCGAGGGCTCCGGCGAGAGCAGCCCCTGCCAGGCCGCGCGCGGTTCCGGGGGATGGGCGACGGCACACGCTGTTCCTTGATACGTGCCCCGCTCGCCCCGGGGGGAACCAGAAGGCACCGATGCCGCTACTCCCAGGACCTCTCCCGCGGTGTGCTCTGACCATAATTTCGAATCGAATGCAGCGACGGCGACGAGAGATTCCCCGGATGCCTCCGAAAATGGCAAAACGAGGCAAGAGTAACGAGTGGTACCAGTAACATGCCTTCCTTTGGGCCCCCGCTCTCAACAGGAGAAGCCACGCGATCCTGTTGAAGCCTGGGTCACCCAGCTGCGCGCTTCGCACCGCGCGACGCGCGGCTGTACTCAGGCTCTCACGCCGTCGTCGTGGAGACGGATGGCTTGCAGGCCAGCCACCTACGAGCGAAGCGCGACGATCTTCAGTAAAAGGGGACCAGGGAGACACGAACAAAAGATACACATTTCATTTATTGTTCAACAGAAAAGAAAATCCCCCCAGTAATCCCCAAGAGGCCCTCGAGAGACCCCAAAGAGGCCCTCAAAATGGGCCCCAAGACGCTTCAAACTGCACCTAAGAGGCTCCGCCAGGCCCCAAAACAGCTCCCAAGACTCCCACAAAGAGTCCCCCGATAGTACCCAAAAAGCCAACGACACCTCAAATGTGGACTCCCCGCCTCTTCTGGGGGTCGGCGGAATGGCGTAGCCTCTTGAATATGTTTATAAATTTTCTGGATTTTTGTCTTCCCCACACTTTCCGATGTTGTCCCGTCTTTTCCTGGAAGTCGACGTTCAGTTGTCCGTCTATATTCCCTTCCTGCTTCCCGCCCCTGCGGGCGACGTAGTCGATCGGCTTGCTTGACACCAAAGCTGTATGGATCATGAGCTGACCTGTAGCCCCGTACCCATCGGTCAGAAGATGTAGGTAGAAACACGAAGTAGGAAGGCGTTGAAAGTAGATTGGGATCCGTCCGTCCCCGGGGGAGGATGGAAAAGGTGAAGCCACTCGATCATTGAAGTATGAAGGCGCTGGACGTAGATTGAAATCTGCTTGGTTCGCCTTAAATATGCCCAGGGCTTGCTTTAGCTTTTTTTGAGCTCGGCGTCTTGGAAGTATGTTGTTTTGCGTTTCCAGGTCGCAACAAAAGCGTTAAAACATGATGCGTTATTGTAGCGTATTCAAACATTGTTTAGCGCTTTCTCCCTGACGACGCCAAAACAACGCGCGAACAATTCCCAAACCACAGCCCTAAAAACGTTACCAACACGCACGTTTTGTTATTTGTTGTGCTTTGCGTCTTCAGCCTGTCAAGAGCCCAGCGTAGGAGCCCGTCGGGTCTTCTGGCAGGCTTGGCGCCCGTGGGCGGCTCGCGAGCTGGCCCTCGGGCATCGGAAGAAAAACGCCCCGATGGCATACAGAACGAAGGCATACAGAAAGAGGGCATACAGCGAGAGGGTATAAAAAACACCCACGGGCATACAGAACGAGGGTGTGATAAAGCCTTCGGGCTTTTGTTCTTACCCCTCTGTTGTCGTTATGCCCTCGGGTGGTTGGTCTCTGAAGACCGCCGAAAGAACGCTGCAAACCGCCAGCGGGCGCGCGCTGCGCCGCGGGCGTTGGGGCCCGACACAGTCATTGGCGGTCTTTGGCGTCCTTCGGCAGTCTTTCGGCGGTCTTCGGCGGTCTTTCGGCAGTCTTCGGCGGTCTTCGGCGGCCTTCGGTGGTCTGGACGGCGGCCCAACACGGCCTTCGGCGGTCGGTGGCGGTCATCGGTGTGAAAGCGGGGTATTTCGCGTTTAAGAAGGGGTCCATGATCGAACACGTCAGGGAGCATACAAAACGAGGGTGTGCAAAAGCCTTCGGGCTGTTTTCTAACCCTCGGTCTTCGTTATACCCTCGGGTTGTGCTACACCTCTCTGTGTTGTTCTTGGTTATGCTCCCCCTGCACGGGCATCAAGCTATGACGTATCCTGCGTCGCCAGATGTTCGGTGTGCGCGGGTTGAAAAGAAAAGTGGCCAAACAATTGACAAACAACTGAGGCCGATGGCGAATGGATCACGGAAACGTCGCTAGAATGCCTACGCCAGTGTCTCACGCATCCAGGCAGCTCTCGCAGACTGGCGCCATGTTGACGCACGATGGTTCTGGAAGTTGTAGTGCAAGGAAGACGCGACTCTGCGTCGCAAACGTCGGGTCTATCGCCTCATTCAAACCAGCAGGCGTGAATACCCACCCACAGCTCACCCAAACCACTACGGCTTACGTGTCCACCCAAATGCTGAGGTCGTTTGCTGCATCAAACTACTCCGCATCCCTTCCCGAAAACGATGGAAAAGAATTCGACTGATCAACTTCGCAGAAGACTAGGGTGGACTATGGCACAACTGGTGTAACACTTTAGCACGTGTGTATAGGGAGGAAGCGTATGCAATAAAAGTCGTGCTGTAGCGATGCGGTGTTGAATTAGGGGCCGGAACATTAGATGTCTAGGTCAGACTGTTCCTCAATCGTATCATGTTTTCTGTCGGTGCCCCAAGATAAAGTCCAAGGAACATCGAGCCCGTTCAAACCAATAAGTTCTCCTGAACGCATCGCACGAAGATCTGAATATGGGCCACTTGTGCTCGATACTCAAACAAGTGGCACGTGTGCCATGGCTCTTGCACAAAAAGGAAAGGGGAGGTGGAGGAGGAGGGGGGACAAGGGGGCAAGACATCGCCCCTCGGGCCCCAGCAACGGGGCCCAAATCCGAGGTGGGGAGGGGGGGGAGGTGGTGTGCGTCGCGACGCGGAAGGAAGTGCTCGGAGCGGAGGGGGCACGGGGCGGAGGTCCTACTGGGGCGCTGGGGGCGCGGAGAGGAGGGGGGGAATGCGGCGCGCGTCGCGACGCGGAATAACATGGTCGGGGCGCTGGGCGGGGCATGGAACAGAGGGCCACGTGGCGGGGGTCCAACTGGGGCGCTGCGGAATAATATTGTCGGGGCGGATGGGGCACGGGGCGGAGCCCCCACTGGGGCGCTGGGGGCGCGGGGAGGGAGGTGGGGGAGGTGGTGTGCGTCGCGACGCGGAATAAAGCGTTCGCGGCGGGGGAAGCAGATGACGGGGCTCCCGCTGGGGCGCTGGGGACGCGGGGGGGCTCGGAGCAGAGAGCCACGGCGCGGAGGTCCCACTCTGGCGCTGGGGACGCGGGGGGTGTGTGCGTCGCGGAATAGTGTTCGTGGCGGAGGGGGCAGTGGGCGGGGCTCCCGCTGGGGCGCTGGGGACGCGGGGGGGCCCGGGGCAGAGAGCCACGGCGCGGAAGTCCCACTCTGGCGCTGGGGACGCGGGGGGTGTGTGTGTGACGCGGAATACAGCGTTCGTGGCGGAGGGGGCAGTGGGCGGGGCTCCCGCTGGGGCGCTGGGGACGCGGGGGGGCTCGGGGCAGAGAGCCACAGCGCGGGGGTCCCACTCTGGCGCTGGGGACGCGGGGGTGGGGGTGTGCGACGCGGAATAAAGTGGTCGGAGCTCTAGACACCCTGTGCAAGAGAATAGTTAATGTGCTACCCAAGGGGACGCCAACTATAGGGAGCGGCGCGGCTCTTCTGGTCACGGCGAGCCTCGGTCACGAGTAGAGCCCCGAACTCAGACCCACGGCACGGCCGAAAACCAGAGAGCCCCTGATGAACCTGAAGTGTTCCTTATTTCAGCAAGTTCACTGTATGAGTGGAGGTGGAAATAGATGTACCAATGGCATGGTTCTCTCGTCTTCCACGGAAGTGCACTGAAGTGTTCGTTCAGCCTTCATCAGCTTCTTGGAGTCGGTCGAGATCCAGTGCGGGAAGGCGCACTGCTCCCCCTTGATGCGCTTCTGGATCATGACCTGGCGACGGGGGGGTGAAACGTTACAGTAGCTTTGAGCACAAGCTGGGTGCGGAGGCTTGTGAGGAATGCAGATATAGAATTGGATCGACGCCTCGGGCGGGTGCGAACAAGTTGAAGCAGGCGAGAGCAAGCGGAAACAACTAGAAACAATAATACACACGTGACATCACATCGAGGACCGTCTGCGCAGGAGAGGAACTAACTTGAAGCACGTGATGGGAACACGCGAAAGCAAGTGCAATCGAATGGTAGGGGGCATGTGGACGCAAGAGGACGCAAGCAGGGACTGCTGCTATAGACCGCCCAACTTCGCGCATTGCCCCCCCCCCCCCCCGATGAGCGACGCGCAATTATCTTCGCTACCTTGGAGAAGGGCAGTTCGGGGGGGGCGTCTCGGCGGCGGCAAGTGGACGCAAGTGGAGCAGCGACGGCGACGATAGCCTGGCTGGCCGGCGACGCGCACGGCGACGGCCCACCCGGGGAGGGAGGGGGAACGGGGACGAGGAGGGGTCCTCCTCCTCCCCCTTCCCCTGCCTCCCCGCCTCCTCCTCGCGCCGTGCGTGCTCCCCGCTTCCTCGCCTCGCCGCTCCCTCGCTTCCACACGCCCCTCGTTATCCCTACCCCCCTATCCTCGGGGGCGCGCAAACACGGATTAGCGATCCATGGATTTGGCGCGCGGTCGCCTGATCCATGAATCGGGGAAGGTGCCCTTCCCAAAATGCGGCCAGTGCCGCCTAGCTCGGCGGCGGAAATCCGCAATTTCCCCTGGAAGCGGGACCCGTCGCTAATCTACGCCCCCGTAATCCATGTTTGCGATCGCCTGATAAGCGAGATGAGAGAGGGTCTCCGCTCGAGAGCCGCGAGCGCCACCTGGGCCCCTCGCGCCGCGCCCAGGCCTTGTAGTCCCCCTCGTAGTGAGGCAGCGAGCCGGTCTGCAGGCAATAGAGCAGGCAGCCTGCCGCCACCCCCGCCGGGGCGGACGAGGCCGGCGACGGCGGCGGCGACGGCGGCGGCGGCGACGGCGGCGGCGACGGGGCGGCCGCGGCGACGAAACGACGCCGACGTCGATAGCGACGGCGGCGGCGACGAGGAAGGGACGCCCCAAGTCAAGCCAACTTGCAGGCAGCAGAGCAAGCAGCCTGCCGCCCGTGACGGCGACGGGGCGGCCGCGGCGGCGATCGAAACGACGCCGACGGCGATGACGACGGTGGCGACGGTGACGGGGGGTGCGGAGGGGGGAAGGCCAGCGGAGGCGGGCGGTCGAGGAGCGGGCGACGGAAAGACTCACTCTGAGGAGGCGGGCCCGTGGAGCAGCGGACGATGGACGTCAGGGGAGGGGGCTGCGGGCTTGCGCGCTCGTTCCGAGTACTTCCCGTGGCCAGTCGCCCCTCTCGTGCGCCGGCGCGCCGAACGTCCGTTGACCCGCAGCCGAACCTGCTCGAGTCGACTTGCATTGAGGCTTGGCCGACTCTGAATTTTTTCAACGGGACCCTCAGGTGGCTTGCGGCCAAAATTCCCCGAACGTGCATCTGCGCAGGCGGGCGACGGAGGCGGCCGAGCCCCGGCGCGCGTCCTCGGGCACTGGGCGGCGGCGGCGGGCCCAGCACGGCACGACGGAGGAGGGGGCGAGGAGAGGGCGGGAAGGGCAGCAAGCTGAATGAGAGGAGGGGGACGGGCGGCAACTCGCTGAAGAAAATTGAAGGGCTGCTGGTGCCATATCTGACCCACCACGTTGCGCGATGCGACCCTTCCCCCTCAGCATGAAAGTTAAAGTCGCTCAGCAGGAAGGACGCGCAAACATCAGCAGGTAGCGTGCGTCGCTGAACCTGCCGAAGTTCTCCCTTCAGACGGGGAACTGTTTGATCGGGATTCATGTGCGCGCTGGTGATGTGGAGGGTCAGAGAGCGAGCGCGACAAAGGACGAGAGTGCGATCCCAGGAAAAGCTCGAAACTGCAAGCGGGGGCGCCAAAAAAATGTGACTAGCAGAACGCCGCCGCCTCTTGCGACTCCCAAGTGGGCGCCCACGCATGCGACCATCATCAGACACAGGCCCATTAGCGGACGTGTTCGGCGAAGGAGACCCCTGCGCGATAGCGCTCTTGGCCACCGCAGCCGTCTGCTCTTTGCTGGTCAGCAGGCTCTCGGAAGCAACGAGTTTGGGCTCGGTGGTGGCAGACAGCTCAGGTTTCTCGACCAACGTGCACAAGATAAGGACCTCGTCGTTCTTCGTAAAGAAATGTCCCCGTGCCCGTTCGCTCCAAGGAAGGCGTCCTGTCCGATACTTTTGGCGGCAAAATGCCGCGAGAAGCCCTACCAGACACGTCCACGAATGATCTGGCGACGGCGGGCATCGGGAGTGGCGTCTCGCCTCGCGCGAAGCCGAATGGGACCGCTACTCGACTGGAACGAGAGGCCGTTGGTCTTGACGAACTCAAGAGAGGCCAGGGCGCCGGTGGCGTTGCTGAACGAAACACTGATAGCCTTGTTCACATTGAGAGCCTTCACTTCAGCGGGGGTTTTATATGTAAGGGAGGGTGCGGAATCACTTACGTGATGATGCACGTGGTCATGACACGAGCGAACATCGGGGATTTGAAACCACCTATCTAGATCTTACGCGGATCAGCGCCATCATCATAGCTGCCTCCACCTGTGAAACTGCAACTGCCCGAGGGGAGCTCTTACCTTTGGACCAGCAGGCGAGTGTGGGAAAAAAAGAACTGCGAGTGCTAGCTGAGTCGACGGAGCTCTGCACCTTAAGGATATTGGCCTCGACCTTTGCAAGCAGGGCCTTATGCTTGGTTTCGTCAGAGCCAACATTTACCTTGAGCTGTCTCTCCAGTGTAGTCATTCGATCGCACAACTCAACGTAGTTCTTCTCATGTTAGTTGCTGGATTATTGCATGACGCAGCGGTCCGACTTGGTGGCCATGTTGAACTCACAGTCATCAGTACGAGGCCTCACTTGACGAGCGCTGCCGACGGCGTCGATGCCTTCTCAAGGCCCTTGGCGTCCACTGAACGGCGTAGCTCCAGTCGGTGCGGCGGTGCAGGCGACGGTCGCGCAAACGGGCTCCACACCCAAAAGGTCGACTTTCAAGGCGGATGCGGAAAACTGAAGAAGAGACATGTCCGCCTGGGCACGACACCCTGATCGCCCTCTGAAGAGATCTGCCCGCTTAGAATGCTGTCTGTCAGCAAAGCACTTGAGCAAAACTGGCAACGGATTTGAGCCAAACTGGCAACGGAAGCTGCTTGTCGGGGAGGAAGGGGAGGAGTGAGGAAAAAGGGATCGGAATCGGAATCGGAACAGCTGCGAAGCAACATCCCTACTCGATAACGCACAATCTCCCTTTTGAGACGAGGGAGAAGGAAGGAGGACGAGGGGGAGGAAGAGCGTGAGGATGGGGAAGGAAGAGCAGCGGGATGGGAAGGAGGGGGAGCACGAGGATGAGGGGGGGGAAGGGGAAGGAAGGAGGAGGAGGAGGAGGAGGAGGAGGAGGAGGAGGAGGAGGAGTCGACGTAGCCTGAGGGCGAGTCCGGGTGCAACCTACGCACGGAGCGCAAGCCGTGCGGCACCTGTGACCCGCGTGGCGGATGCGTATGTATGGTGTGAGGAGAGGGGCACTATATCTTTCGATTTGTGGTAGATATGAAAAGCGAGTGCCAAGGCCCCAACAACTTCGAGGCGAGAGATTTCGCAATCCTCCGTGCCGTACTCCGTGGAACTCCCGAGGCCAAGCCAGAGCAAAGGATCCACAGGAAAGACGAGCCGCGACCAGCTGAGGGCGACGTGGTGCCGGAGCGGCATACACTGGAGGTAATGCGAGATCCCGTCTCGGCCCCCGCACCCAAAAATGCAATCTTGGGAATGCGGCGAGACGTGCATTCTGCAGCTGTTTGATATCAAAGAGACCACTCCATACCTCGGCGTGCAATTCGGGCCCGCCGCCGATCTCGAACACCAGTGGTCCCAGGCCGGTGCGAAATGGTGGCAGCGTACCCTCGACCTTCCATCCTCCCGTGCTGCTCCTCAGCTTCTCTCAATCCAGTATAGCATGTATGCAATTAGCACCCTAGGATACTTGGCACAGTTCTTTCCCATGTCACCCAAAGTGTTCGCCTCCCCCCGAATTCCTTCACCCTCCAGGACTTGCACTCGCGTGGCCAGTGGCTCGGGACAGCCCCGAAGTCGGTGCTGGCGCTCAGCGTCGCGTCCGCCTGGAGGATGAGTGCCCACACGGTCGCTGACTGGGCGCCAGCGTTCGAGACGCTTCAGCAGGCTGCCGACCGTGCCTGCGGTACACCCGCGCTCTCTGCTCCACGGTGGGCCAATGCGGAGTGGTGTGCGCCGTGCTGGAGCCGCCCCACTGCTATCGTCCAGCTTTTCCGCTCTTTCCTTGTCTCCACTCCCTCTGTCGTCCATCGTCGTCGTGACGGGTCGTTCCGCTCCTCCTATCCTTTTTCGCTCAGGGTGTGGGAGGCCACGAAGGCGACAGGCCAGGCCGAGCTGCGGGCGGCCGCTGAAGAGGGACGCAAGCCTAAGCTACAGCGCGTGATCGGCTCTGCGGTGTCGGTTGCACTGTATCCCGACCGTTTTCACCAGACAATCGGACGCCGCCTCGATGCCTGGTCCTTCGTTCGCCCCCCCAACCTCGCGGAAAGATGGTCCCTTCTGAAAGCTTGTCTCCGGCAAGTGCGGCCGAGCTGGAGATGGGCTGTCCTAGGAGGAGGAGGAGGAGGAGGAGGAGGAGGAGGAGGAGGAGGAGGAGGGGGAGGAGGGGGGAGGAGGAGGAGGAGGAGGAGGAGGGAGGAGGGGGAGGAGAAGAGGAGGATGAGGAGGATGAGCATAGAGCAGCAGGGAGAGAAGACGTCCTCCCACTCCTCGGGCCCACCCAGGCAGTAGAAGTCCAGCGGGGTGCTGTGCCCCTGCCTCTGCACCATCTCCGGGCTCAAGTACCTCCACCAGCCCAGCGTCCCCCCCGCCGCTCCCCCTCCTCCTCCTCCTCCTCCTCCTCCCCATCCTCCTCCTTCCCCTCCTCCTCCTCCTCCTCCTTCTCCTCCTCCTCCTTCCCCTCCTCCTCCTCTTCTTCCTCCTCCTCCTCCCTCCTCCTCATCCTCCTCCTCGTCCTCCTGCTCCTCCTCCTCCTCCTCGTCCGAGCCCCCCCCCCTCTTCACCGATCTTCGATGTCCAAAGGGATGTGTGACCCCTCCACGGGTTGCCCCCCTGGCACTGCCGAGCTGCCCTTGGCGACCCGACAGCACATGAGGCGCCCGCGATGCAGTCGAACAAGAACCAGGCCAGTGGCCCTCAAGGACGAAGTGTCCCCTCCTCTTCCCCCTCCTTTTCCATCCTCCTCCTCCTCCTCCTCCTCCTCCTCCTCCTCCTCCTCCTCCTCCTCCTCCTCCCCCAATCTCACCATCATCATCGTCAGCATCATCATCATGATCATCATCATCATCATCATCATCATCATCATCATCATCATCATCATCATCATCATCGTCATCATCACCACCACCATCATCATGAGCATGATCATCAAACTCATCATCATCATCATATCATCATAATATCATCACCATCACCATCAGCATCATCACCACCATCACCATCAACATCACAATCACCATCACTACACTCACAACTTATGCTAATGCATCATCCGATGAGAAATTGAGATCCAGCTTCGCTGGATTTCTTAGCTCTCTCGCGAGAGCCAACTTTGAAGCGTGCAGTTTCTTAGCGCAGCGCGGCGCCAGTGTTGGTGATTTTGATAAATATTGCGCCAGTGATGATGCCGATTGCGCAGGGCCGGGGGCTCTGCAACAATGTATGAAACACAACATGCAAGAATATGTGGAGAAAGATGTAGCGGAGAATCTGGACGAAGACCGGCCAGAAATCTGAAGGAAGATCTGGAGAAAGATCTGGGGAACATCTACAGTAGAGGAGAGATATCGAGGAAGACCCCGGTGAAGATCTGCGTGAAGATCTGGACGAAGATTTGGAGGAGATCTGGGGGAAGATCTGGAGGAAGATCTGGGGAACATCTAGAAAAGAGATCTCGAGGAAAACCCGGGTGAAGATCTGGGTGGAGATCTGGGTGAAGATCTAGGGGAATATCTTGGTGAAGATCTGGGGTAATATCTGGAGGAAGATCTGGACAAAGATCTGGAGAAAGATCTGGAGGCGAGATCTCGGGGAAGATCTGGGTGGATATCTGGGGGCAGATCTTGGAGAAGATCTGGGGGGAATTCTGGTGGAATATTTGAATGAAAAATCAGAGCGAGATCTGGACGAGAAATCTCGGGGAAGATCTGGATGAAGATCTGAGGGAAGATCTGGGGAAGATCTGGAGGAACTGCTGGAGCAAGATCTGGAGACACATCTGGAGGAGAGATATTGGGAAACATCGGGATGAAGGTCTGGTTGAAGATCTGGAGGAAGATCTCGAGAAGAGTTGGGAGAAGATCTGGGGAAAGATCTGGAGAAACATCTGATGGATGATCTGGAGGAGAGATCTTGGGAAAGATCTGGGCGAAGATCTGGGTGAAGGTCTGGGGGAAGATCTGGACTAAGATCTGGGGGCAGATCAGGAGTAAGATCTGGAGGAGAGATCTGGGTGAAGATCTGGAGGAGAGATCTCGGGGAAACTCTGGGTGAAAATCTGGGGGAAGATCTGTAGAAGATCTGGGGCAAGATCTGGAGGAAGATCTGGAGGAAGATCTGGGGGAAGATCTGCAGGAGAGATCTCGGTGAAGATCTGGGTGGAGATCTGGGGTAATACTGAAAAGGTATATGGAAGAAGAACCATGGCAAATCTGGAAGAAGATACCGGACAATATCTTGATAGAATACCTGGAGCAGGTTTGAACGGAACATCTGGAGGCAGCTCTGGGGACAAATGTGGACGATGATATGGAAGAATATCTGGGGGGGCGGAATGAGAAAGAAGTGGAAGAAATCCAAAAGAAAGGTCAGCAGGAACAAATGACGGAAGATCTGGGGGAAGATCTAGAAGAAGATCTTGGGAAAGATCTGGAGGCAAGTCCGGAAAGAAATCAGGTGGATTATGTGAGCGTAGATCTGGAGGAAGATTTGGCAGAAGATCTGGGGAAGATCTAGGCAGATGAACTAGGAAGATCTAGAGGAAGATCTGGAGGAAAATCAAAAGAAGATCTAGGACTAGATGGGGAAGATATGGGAGAAGATCTGGAGGAAGCTCTGGGGAAGGTCTAGGAATATTCGGGGAAGATCTGGAGGAAGATCGGGGGAAGACAGGGAAGAATCTGGAGGAAGATCAGGGGGGAGATCTAGGGGGAGATCAAGAGGATGGTCTCGAGGAAGATCTGGCAGAAGATCCAGAAGATCCGGAGGAAGATCGGGAAGAAGATACCAGCTTTAAGAAACTGTACCAACTTTTGGAAGTTCGTTACCGAAATAAAAATGAGGCCCAGCTTGGCGAGCGGGAGCTTCTTAATATAATACATCAGTGTATCACCATCATTATCATCATCATCAGAATCAACATCATGATCATCATGATCATCATGATCATCATGATCATCATCATCATCATCATCATCATCATCATCATCATCATCATCATCATCATCATCATCATCATCATCACCAAATTCATCGTTATCCTGCAGCTTCTTCTCCTCATCATTATCCTGCTGCTCCTCCTCCACCTCCTCATTGTCCTTCCCCTGCATCTCCTCCTCATGATCCTTCGCCTTGTCCTCCTCGTTCTCCTGCTGCCCCTCTTCGCCACATTCGCCCCCCCCCCCCACCCAAGCAATAGGGGGGAGGCGAAGACCGGGTGCCAACGGCGGGTTGGGTTGCGGACGGCCGGGGTCGCCCAGCGGTCCCGACGAATGACGTGAACCTCGCTGTCGGCGTCAGGCCTTCCTCGCGGTGCGGGTTCCCACGGCGCCGAAGAGGGAGGAGCGAAGGGAGGGACAAGGAAGAATAAGAACAATGAGAAGAAGAAAAAGAAAACGGGATCAGGAGGTATGAGGGAGAAGGAGGGGGCAGAGGAGAGAAGGAGGAGGACGAAGGACGAGGGAGAAGGAGGACGAAGGGGGAAGCAGGGAAGGAGGAAAAGGGAGGATGGTTGGATCGAATCGGCAATCCACGGAAATGCCCGTCACCAAGGAGCGCCACACAGCACTCGCGGCAGCCGACGGCGCCCGCCACGCGGGCTGATCCCGCACCCAGAGCACGACTCGAGGGGCAGGGGATACGTGTGAGCTGTGGAAGGCAGCGGGGGCGAGAGCCAGAAATTGGACAACTTACAAACAACCAGAACCAATTCCAACCACCATGATACAATTTGCAACCCATTCGGTATACATTCCAAACACTTTTTAAATCATTTCAACCGACCTCTCTGCGAAGCCTCACAAGCGTCTTGGAGGCACCGTGCGGGCGTCGTAGAAGCGTCGTACGGGCGTCCTGGAGGCGTTTTAGCGACGTCGCACGAACATCTTAGAAGCGTTGTGCGGGCGACTTAGAGGCGTCGTACCGGCGTCTTAGAGGCGTCGCACGGGCGTCTGAAGAGGCGCCATACGGGCGGTTTAGAGGCGTCCTACGGGCGTCTTAGAGGCGTCGTGCGGGCGTCTTGAAGACGTCGCACGGGCGTCTGAGGAGCGTCGCACGGGCGTTTTCGAGGCGCCTCTAAGACGTCTCTCAGAGGCGCCTTAGAGCGTCTCTGAGGGACGTCTCGGAGAGGCGTCTGTGAGAGGTCTCTGCGAGTCGTCTTAGAGAGGCGTCTCGTACAGGAGTCTCTGAAAAAGGCGTCGTGCGTGGCGTCTCTGAGAGGCGTCATGCGTGGCGTCTCCGAGAAGCGTTTTACACGCGTCGCTGAGAGGCGTCTTACAAACGTAAATCAAATTACAGCCGTCGTGGAGAGTCTCTTGACTGGCGTCTCTGCGATGCGTCTCTGAAACGCCGTTCTACAGGCGTGTTTTTAGGGGCGGCCCTGAGTCCTGAGAGGCGTCCCGCGAGCAGTTCTGGGAGGCGTCTTATCAGCGGTTCTGAGATGTGTTATGCTGATGTCCGACAAGGTCCTACATGATCCTGGGGCATCCACATGAACCCGCAGGAATGTACACGGGCACTGCGGTGCACGCGGCCGAGATGGCGCGCGCAGATGTTCTGGCGCAGCAAAGGGGGGAGTTGGAAAGGGAACAGGGGGAGGAGGAGGAGGAGGAGGAGGAGGAGGAGGAGGAAGAGGAGGAGGAGGAGGAGGAGGCACTCCTTCGCCCTTCATCGTCGTTGTGCGCCCATTTTTCTGCTGTCCTGCCTCCTCGTCAGGGGGCGGGGGGAAGAAGAGGGAGGAAGAGGAGGAAGAGGAGGAGGAAGAGGAGGATGAGGAGGAAGAAGTGCGTGTGCCCCAGCGCGGGCGTTCAAGGATGAACGCGCCTAGGAGGGGCGCGAGGCGGCGGCGCGCGGGCGCAGCCGCCGGGGCTTTGCGTGGAACTTCCAACGGGGCCACGAAGCGCGATGGTGATGAGCGGGTAGCAGACGAAAGGCTGATGACGATAATGACGCTGGTGGTGCTGATTGCGGCGGGCGGTGACGGCGGTGACGCTGATGGTGATGACGATGGCGGGGACGATGGTGACGGTCATGCGGGTGGGGACGGGGATGGTGCTGCTGATGGTGATGGTGGCGATGATGACGATGGCGATGATGACGATGATGATGCGGACGCGCGGAGAGCAGGATGGAGGAGGAGGAGGCGGAGGAGGAGGAGGAGGGGGATGAGGAGGAGGGGGAGGGGGAAGCGCGCATGCCCCAGCGCGGGCGTCGAAGGTTGAACGCGCCTGGGGGGGCGTCCGTCGTCGTCGTCGTCGTCGTCGTCTCTCCAGGGCCGCGCTCTGGCCAGTATTCCAGGGCGACCCCGGCCGCGGCGACGAGGGTCTTCCTGGAGGCTCCACGAAAAGCGCCTCGCCGTCGCCGCCGTCCGTCGCGTTCGTCATTGTCGTCGCCGTCTCTGCTCGCGCGCGGCGGCCCCCTCCGAGGCGGCGCGCTCCCCCCCCCCCCCGCGCACGCGCGTCGTCGTCTTCGTCGTCGTCTTCGTCGTCGTCTTCGTCTTCGTCTTCGTCTTCGTCGTTCGGTCGTTCGGCAGGGCGGCGGCCGCGACGCCTCGAGGTGGAAGGAGGAGGGGGGGGAGAAGGAGGGAGAGGAGGGGGGGAGGGACCTCGGAGAGCGATGGGGGTGCATCTGGCCGCCCACGAAGCCTCGGGAAGAGAAGGCGGCGCAGGCAGCGAAGTGCTAGTCGAAGGGGCGGGTTCCTCCTCCTCCCCTTCCCCCTCTTCCAGCGGGGAAGGCTGGGGAGGGTGGGGATGAAGATGAGGAAGAGGAGGGGGAGGAGGAGTAAGAGGACGGCGTGCCTGCAACGGATGAGTGGGATGATGATGATGATGGTGGTGAAGGTGATGGTGATGGTGGTGGCGATGATGACGGTTGACCAAAAGAGGATGAGGATGATGGTGATGATGATGCTGCTGATGATGCTGATGCTGATGCTGATGCTGATGCTGATGCTGAGGATGATGATGATGATGATGATGATGCTGATGTTGATGTTGATGCTGATGCTGATGATGATGCTGATGATGCTGCTGATGATGGTCCCTTGAGTGAAACACGTTCAAGCTTTGAATGTTTGAACTCTGCAACCCTCAAATCCTTACGCCCTAAAGCCCTTACGTTTTAAGCCAAAGCCCTTCAACCCTTGAAAGCCTTAAACCCTCGAGCACCAAAACCCAAAACCCTTTAAACCCATAAGCCCTGAAGCCATTGAACCCTTGAGCCCGGAAGCCCTAAAACTTGTAGGCATGCTTAAAGCCTCAAACCCTTTAAGCACCTAAAATCTTAGCCCTTGAACCCTGCAAGCCCTTGAATCCTAAAGCCATAAATAAGTATTCAAACATTTACACGTTTACATGAACCCTGACACCCTAAGCCATGAAGCCCTCAATCCTGGGAACCTTTGAACGCTTAAAAACTCTAACAGTGAAACCCTTAAACCCTAAACCATTGAACACTCGAGCAATGAGGCCCCTAAATCATTTCACCCTGGAAGCCTTACAATAACATCCCTGGATAAACCTGGTACACATTCCAACCCGGGCAAATCATGTTAGCGTCTGGAGTACATGCGCAGACATAAGCAACTCATTTCTGTTTGGGGATATCCGAACATCGCCTCACACTGAACAGCATTCAACGATGTCATCTGGCCTGCTGGAATTCACACCAGTATATCTGTTCGAGCCCGTTGGAACATGTGCCAGCTGGCTGGGATTAGTCCCAGTCGGTCGGAGATCGTTCGTCGTCGTCTCTGTCATCCCCTTCCCCTGCGCCCCCGCTTTCCCAGGTCCGGTCGCCGCCTTTCCCTGGGCCCTCCTCCTCAAGCGCTGGGCTCGTCGCCGCTCCCCCCCCCCCTTCTCTATAGGTCCTCCTCCTCAAGCGCGCAAGCCAAAGCGAAATTGAGTATCGTCGTAATTGGCTCGAAAGGAAGCCCCCCCCCCCCCTTTGATCCCTCTCCCGCCGGGAGGAGGGGGGGTTCCCGGGGGGAGGCCTGCCGGGAATGGGGGGGGGTGTTCCGGGGGGGGGGTCGCACGAGAGGTCCCGGGGGGCGGGTCCCAAGGACCAAAAAAGCGCCGAGAGTGCCCCGAGTGGCCCCGAAGACGGTCTAAGAGGGCCCCGAGTCGCCGAACGATCTGTCCAAGACGCCTTGACGGCCTCCGGACGGTCCAAGATCCCTGCAAGATGCCCCAAGAGGCCTCCAGGAGCACTCCCAAGTGGGCCCCAAGAGGGACAGCCATTGATTTCTCATCGGTTATTTGATGCATTTCGGCCTTCTCGCCTCCTCCACTTCCCTACGCTCCAAGAAGGCCTACGAGGCCCCCCAGATCGCGTCGAGACGGCCAACGAGGGCTCCAGGAGGGACCCAAAACGGCCCAGGAGGGCCCCAAGATGGCTCAAGATGCCTCCACGACGGCCCAAGAGGCCCCCAAGACGGCTCCAAGGGGGTGCCCAGACGAGGGACCAGAACTGACACTTCGAGCCCTCGGCCGCGAGAGGCCCCCAGGAGGAACCAAGAGGCCCCGAAGAGGCCCCGAAGAGGCCCCAAGACAAGAGGCCCCCAAGAGGACCCCAGGAAACCCCGAGAGGCCCCCAAGAGGCTCCCAAGAGGCCCCCAAGAGGCCCCCGAGAGCGCTGCGAAGAGACCCAAAGAAACATCCATGAGGACTCTGACACACGTCAGCGTCGTTGTCGCCGCCGCCGCCGTTGTCGTCGTTCCCCATTCAGGGTCGGCGGCAACGGCCCTAAGGTCTTCGCAATAGTACCGCGTGCGACGAGAAGCCCCCGGCCAAGCGGACGGAGGAGGGAGGAACGAAGAGGGACGAGGGCGAAGGAGTAGCAGAAGGAGACGATGGGCACAGGAGGAGAGGTGAGAGGAAAAAGGCGGGAGGAGCGGTGAGAGGAGCACTGGCGCGGCGCGGGTGAAAGGGAGGGGCGGTGGCCTGACGGCGGCACCGACCCCCGACGGCTCTGGTTCTCTCCCTCGTGCTGCTGCTCCTCCCTCTCATGCTCTCTCTCTCTCTCTCTCTTCGTCTTCCTCGTCTCCTCCTGCGCCCCCTCGGCCTCTCAGCAGCACCGACCGAGGGGGGGGGAGGGGGGGGCTGATCTGCGGGCGGCCTGCAGGCCCTCGCTGCGACCCATCAGCCCACTCCACCCTCCGTCCTTTTTGCGGCCGGGCCCGGGGCAGAAGAGCACCCCTCAGGAGCACGAGACCCCCTGCCGGCCAGAACGCCCCAAGCCATAAGATCACTCGATGGGTGCCCTCCCCCAAGATGCACAAGAACCCGACCAGCCACAACTGGGGGAGCTGTGGTCCTTACCCCCCTGGGGGAACCCATCGCATCGACGATCTCTCGAGAGGGGTGTCGAATTCGATGGGTCCCCCAGGGGGGTAAGGACCACAGCTCCCCCAGTTGTGGCGGGCCTGAGAACCTCCAAGAAACACGAGGAACATTTGGGCATCCTCCCCGAACCGGCAAGATCTCAATATCTCGGTCCGACCGTACGGGGGACGGGGGCAGACTGGACTGTGGGAGGGACTGGACTGGATCGCCCTCCCCCCGCCGCCAGCGGCAGCATCGGAAGGAGGTGGGGCAGGGATCGCAACTCCGTTTCCCCTGCTCCTGTGGAGGCGGGAGGGGGAGGGGACGCCCCTTCCCCCTCCTCCAGTGTGGAGCGGCGGGAAATAGGGAGGGGGCGAAGGAGGATGGACCGGGGTGGGCCATGCGTGAGAGAGGGCAGGGTGAGGATCAGTCGCTTATGGCGATAAAATCGGGAATCTCTGAGCGTCGGCGCTTCGGCCCTTTCAGAGCGCTCTGGAACCATCTGCGAGCGTTCCGGCACACTCTCGAACGATGTTGTCCTCACCTGGGCCTGACTGAAGTGGGCAACTGAAGTGAATAGAATGATCTGATTGCTTGCATTTTCATTGCAGGTCCTCCCCCTCTTCATTTTCATTATCCTTCTCCTTTTCCTTCTCCTCCTCCTCCTCCTCCTCCTACTCATTTCGGCCTGTTAAATCCAACCCGCGCTGGCGCCGACGGTCTAATTCTGGCAAATTGCATTCAGTTAGTCGCAAAGAATCACGGCAGGAGCCATGAGTGTCCTTACCAGCCCATGCGTCCTGCAGGATGTGTGGCCTTCTTGCTCGCTTGGGCCTGACTGAAAATGATGCATTTTCAATGAGGTGTTTCAGACCGTCGGCGGCGTGGACAACACCAACAAAAAGCTGAGGAAAAGATAGTGGGAGGAATGGGGGGTGAGCAGGACGAGGAGGCAGGAGTCCGGCAGGAGAGATGAGATTGGCCTCGGTTCCTCGTCTGTGTCGCTCAGGAAAGCCCAGGCCAGGGGGACGCAGGAGGGCCGTGGCTGGCAAACGCCAAGGCCAAATAATGCATCATCCAGCCGCCGCCAGGCGCTCAGCGCCGCCCAGCACAGCGTACTGGAGGCACTCCATGGACGGTCTCTTTTCCTTCACCTGCTCCTCCTCCTCCTCCCCCTCCTCCTCGTCCAATTGATGAAGAAACGCTGTCGACTTACACGTACAAAGTCGGATGGCCGCACGGATTTTTCGGATCGGCACTGGAGCTTCTCCCTGGCGCGCCGCGCGCGCTGGGGGCGCCGCCAGAGGGATGGTCAGCGCACATCTGGGAAATTCAACACGAACGTCTAGAAGTGGTTCCCCAAACAATGTTTGCACTCAGAGTTGCTTGGCGTTCTTAAGGCGCTACATGGGAATGCCGAGTTGCGCGACGTTGCGGACTCGTGCTGCCTAATGGGCGCCTCGTGGGCGCCCAGCGCTTGTGGGGTACGTCGAGGTTGCGCCACGTTGCTGCCTAGTGGAGGCCCCGCCCGTGAGGGATACGTTGAGGTTGCGCCACGTCGCCGCCCGATCGTGAGCACTGAATGATCGTTCACCGCATAGATGTCACCACATATCTTATACCACATAGCTTACACAACAAAGCTGGCACAGCATAGCATTCACATAGCGTGCACCAACTAGCTGTCACTCCCAGTCGGCATCGCGAATATTACATGCCATAACTTACACTACATAACTTGCACAACATTGCTCCCAAACAATGAGCGTACCACATAACCTGAACGGTATACCTCGCACACTTGAATCACATGACTTGTACAGCATGGCTTACCCACCATAGCTCACACCACATAACTTACACCGCATAACTGCCACCTCAAGTTCACACACCTCCAATAGCTCACACCACATGGCTTACACGACAGAGGATTTACCACATAGCTTGCACCGCACAACATCCACATCCAGAATGCAATGACGCACTGTGTTGAGTCCATGCTGGCTAACCTTGTTTGGGCAGACTGTTCTTCATCAATTCCTCTTCTTCGACGCAGGAAGACCAGGGTCATCTAACCTAAGCTGACTTCCTGGGCTTTCCTGAAAGCCAATGCAAACCGCTGTAGACCCTTCCAGGCCGTCCGCCAATGCCATGTTATTGCCATGCGATGGCAATGATATATCTGGGGAAACCGACATGTACCGATACCGCTACTCCCTGGACCTCTCCCGGAGTGAGTTCTGACCAGGGTTTCGAGGCGAATCCAGCGGTGGCGACGAGGGCCTCCCAGGCGGCCCAAACAGGGGAAAGCGGGCGAGCGGCAGAGGTATGGGTACCTTGTCCTCCTCCGAATGGCTACGCTCCTGTCACGATAGTGCTGCCCTGCAGACACATGCAGGTTCACCGCAAGGCACCTGCATGGCTGCAACGTGGCGGCTGCTTAGCACCCTCGCGCCGCTCCCCCGCAGAAGGACCGCCGGCCGGTCCCCCGACCGCGGCGCGCGAGGATCGCTGCGCGCCCGCCGTATGGCGCCCGGCGCCACCCAGCACGGCGCAGCGGAGGCACCCCGTTCGAGTCGGGGATCGGCTGCAGAATCGATGTGCCCCGAAGATACTTCCCCGCCAAATCTGTGAGGAGTGCGCAGGATGCTCCGCAAGGCCACGCAACACTCTGCGTGTGGCTTGTAGACTCGCCGGAAAAACAGTTCCGGGGCAACTCGAGTCTGTATTCAATCCACTACTCGATCCATGGGCAGAGGTCGTGTTTCCTCCCCCTGTCTTCCTCCAGGGAAGGAAGGGCATCGACATAGACGTACACTTTCGAACCTCGGCAAGTTCATGTTCGTGCAACTTGTTCTATTTGCTTTCCGAGTTTCTCACCCTCCCTCCGAGACGAGTGGAGACGATGAGGAGCATGGCGGAAGGCGTCCTTCGAAAGCCCGAAGTCGGTGAGCCGGACGTGGCCCTCCATGTCCAGCAGGCAGTTCTCTGGCTTCAGGTCTCTGTACAGGACCTTCCCAGACGGTCGCTTGCCACGGCCCATCCTCCCCCCCCTCTTCCTTCCTCGTCCTCGTCCTTTAACCTCGTCGTCATCGTCTTGCTCCCCTCCTCCTCCTCCTCCTTCTCCATTCTCCTCCTTGTCATCCTTCTCCCTCGTCATCCTCCTTCTCCTACTTCTTCCTCGCCGTCTTCCTCCTCCTCCTCCCCCCCCTCCTCCTCCTCCTCCGCCTCCTCCTCGTCCTCTGCATCCCTCGGCCTCCTCCTTTTCCCTCGTCGCCCCTCTCCCTCGTGGTCCTCCTCCACCTCCTCCTCGAGGACCGAGGGTCGGGGTGTCTCGGAACTTCTTGTTGGCCATGTCCGAGCCTCTGGATGCCCCTGGGGGCCTCGAGAGGCCATGACCTCCGGGGACCTCTGGCGCGCCCTTGGAGGCCTCCGGTCACGGGCCGCGCGGAGGGCCACGGCCCCGCGCCTGCCCGCGATGGGGCTGGAGCCGCTTCCCCGCCTCGTCCTCCTCCTCCTCCTCACCGTTGCCCCTCCTCGTCCTCGCCCTCGTCCTCGTCCCCCTCCTCATTCACGTCCCCCTACTCGTCCCCGTCCCCCTCCTCATCCTTGTCCTCAGTCCACCTCGCAGCCATCCTCGCCCTGCTCCTGCTTACCCTTTGTCCTCGTCCTCCTCGTCCTCCTCCTCCTCGTTGTCTTTCTCTCCTTTCCCTCCTGCCCTTCCTCCTGGCACTGGAGATGCGGCAGGGGGGAATAGCAGCAGCAAGGTCGTTGCCGATGCCTCCCGACCCCCGCCTGCTGCGAGTGCAGGTACTCCAGGCCTAGCAAGATCTCGCAGAAATAGAACATCGCGTCTGGCTCCTCAAAGTACCGCCTCGCCCGCCCGCTCTAGAGACGAACGGGTACCCTGAAACGGCGACGACGGCCTAACACCAACAATGAACAAATGGATGCTATGTAATCCCCCGGTCACCCAGCGGAGCTACCGGGCTGCGCCAGCCAGGGTGTCTAATCAAGAAGCGCGTGTGTGCGCGCGAAGAGTCTGTTCCAAGGTTGCCAGCTCTGTACCAAGGCTACCAGGACTGTACCAAAGATGCCAGCTCTGCATGCGCTGCCACACAAGGTGTACAATGTACTCAGCGGGCATCCCACCTGCGCTTGCGTTACCTGCTGACTGCCGACATCAGCGCGTCGGAAGAAAAAACATGTGTGCACGTGCGTGCAGCCGGCCTCAGTTAGGCATTCTCCCTCGTGGGCCGCCAGCTGCCTTCGTCGTGCCGCTCGCCTCTGGGCTGCTTCTGCGCTCCCTCCCCCTGCGCTGTCCTGCTGCCCGTACCCCAGACCACGGCGATTGGCTTAGGTCGGACGCACGCGCCTCCGCGGCAGCTCCGCCTCTCTTGGAGAGAGAGTGCGCGGATCAGCGTGCACTGCCGAAGGTGGTCCCCGCAGAGGTACCATTGGTGCTGACTGCCATGACGACAAGTGGGACGCCCGATGCAAACAGTGCTGCCCCACAGAATGACAGTGCGGATGCACGAGCCCCGCAGTGTCACACCAGAGTGGCAATTACTCAAGGTGACCTCGGGAAAGTCCAAGACGGAACGACAGCGATGCCGCTGCCATGCGTCCTGGCTCACTATCGATCCTGAGCGTCCAATGCGAGACGACAGCAAACATACACACAAGCAATGGAACATTGGCAGAGCAAGTGGGTCCCACGGACAGACGAGCCTTGGAGTCAGCAGGCAAACCTGTCGCAGGACGGTCCTCGCACTCTCCTCTGGCGTGAAGCTATGGCGACGACTCGGAGGCCAAGGATGCTGAGACAAGCGGAGGCATGGGGGGAGGCTTCCCCGCCGCTGCAGCATGTGGAAGAAGAGCTCGCCACCGCCACAGAAGTCTAATACCTCGGCGGGGGCGAGGGATGAGGCATGGGAGACGGTGGGGAGAGCCGGGAGAGCGAGAGAGAACCAAACATTATATATACATGCATGCATGCATGCATACCATACCATACCATACCGTACCGTACCGTACCGTACCGTACCATATCATACCATACCATACCATACCATAACATACCATTACCATTACCATTACCATTCCCATTCCCATTCCCATTCCCATTCCCATTACCATCACATTGCCACTACCACTACCACTACCATTACCATACCATACCATACCATACCATGCCATACCATACCATACCATACATACATACATACACACACACTAGAACCGCGCGCGCGCGTAGGTTCGAGTCGAGTCACACCTACGCCACGTTTTACGGCTCACGCTTTCGCTCATCGAATCGGCGACATTGCGAAGTCCTCCGCATGTGGGCGCTGCAACGTCTCCATTCGTCTCGGCTCACTCCCCCTCCCCCCTCGTCATCGTCGTTCTCGTCCCCCTCCATGGTCATCATCTTTCTTGTCGTCCTCCTCCTCCTCCTCCTTCTCCTTTCGGATACGTTAGCTTGTCTTATGGTGAACCAATATGGGGGACCGAGGGTAGTTGCAACGAGGACCTTGGCTACTTATGCTGGTTGTCCTACTAGAGGATTCCCCGCGGGATGCTCGCTCGCTACCTACAACGTGCAAATGCACACAGTGCCCCCCATGGACTCCTGGGTCTCGAAGTTCCCCACAGTGGACCCCTCCATCTTCATAGATGACATCATGTTGGCCAGCAACAACACTAGTGTGAGGCCCCTGGTGTCGGACTTGGCGCGGGCCGCCGACAGCATGCTAGATGTAATCGAGGAGGGCCTCGATTGCTCGGTCGCGCTGCAAAAGGCGGCGGTGTTGGGCTCGTCAGCAGTGGTGCAGCAGAGACTGGCGAAGGCCCTAGGCAAGTACAGTGGACCCGATGGTGTCCGCCAAGCACAGTCTGCGCCAAACCTCGGAGTAGATTTTACCATGGGGAACAGGCTCAGCAAAAAGTCACGCACGACCCTCGGAAAGCGATCGACAAACATGAGACGTCGTCCCCACCGTTTGGCGCAGATTAGGAGAGCAGGTGCAAATATGCGTAAGATTTACCAGACAGGGCTGAAGGCGGCCGCCTACTACGGAGCAGAGGTGGTCGGCCTCACCAACCCCGAGGCGCAAGAGGCCCAATCCGTGCACCTCAAGATCGTAGGACCCAGATGTGCTATCAGATCCAAGTCTTTGGCGCTGTCGATTCTCGGGGATCCGACCTGGACTGCCGCTCTGGGACCGGCCTGCTATTGGGTCAATCTGATCTGGAGGGTTGCTCATCCACCTGGGACTGCCAGCTTTACGTTTCCTGAACTTCGCACTCAGGCCCTGGAGGTCCTCAGCAAACCCCCGACGAAGTGGCTCCAGATAAGAGGGCCTCTCGGGGCCACGATCCTCAGCTTGGGGCGTCTTGGATGGTCTATGCACGACCCGTTTGTGTTCCAGGATACCAACGGCCAGGACTGCCCACTCATCACGACCTCCCCAGCCTTAATCAAGAAGTTATTTCAATCCCAGTGGCAGCAGCAGCTCGATTTGAAGGCCAGCGCGAAGCTAGGTCTCGACGAGCCGCTGGACCCGTCGCTCATGCAGCACGCGCTGCAAGATGACAGTATGCAGGGGCACAAGCGCACGACCTTGCTGTCCTACGGATGCCAGTGCATTTGGACAAAAAGTAAGATAGCCGAGGCAGGCTACGAGGAAAAAATCAGTTGCGAGTTGCGCCAAGGCCCCGAGGACTCCCTCCCCCACAGGGTCTTCGAGTGCCCGCAGACCAGCAACTTGAGAGAGGAGATGTTGAAGGAGGGGGACGTGGAGGAGCTCAGGGATCAGAGGAGAGGTTTCCCGTACGTCTTGGGGTTCCAGCTTCGACCTGAACCAATTGCTCTGAGGCCCCCAGGATTAGGACTAGACCAAGCAGTGCATTGGTCGCGCGGTGGGCAGCCCAAGGAGGTTGCCATGCAAGGTGAACTTTTCCACGACGGCAGTGTTTGAAAACCTGGCCATACGGTCTTTGACGCCCCTGCCTGGTCCGTGGTTAAAACCGACGAGGAGGGCGACCTAGTTGCCTGTCTCTCGGGGCCCGTGGGGGCCAGTCTTCCCCCCACGTCGCCCGCTGCCGAGCATTTAGGATTTCTGGCTGCCGCCTCCAGCCCAAGAGTCACTAAAGCGTGGACCGACTTTAAAAGCATCCTCTCGGTTCACCAGAGCCCCGAGGTTAGTAGGGCAGAAATGTATGCAGGAGTGTCTGTCTTGGCCAGGGCCCAAGGCAGTTTCAGGTCACTCGAGATAGCCAACGTAAAGGCCCACCAAGATCTCTCGACCCTGGAGGCTGGCTCGAGGGACTGGTTTGTAGCAAAAAAAAACGACTGGGCGGATCGGGTTGCCAAACTAGCTGCTGCCCAGATTCCCGCCCCGTCCCAGATGGAGATTGAGTATTCTAAAGAAGGCCGCAGTAGAGTACTGAGATTTTTGAAGTATGCAGCGGATGCGCTCTCCTTGTGGCAGGCCCTCGCCCCAAAGACGGGGAAGAAGGCATACGAGAAGCCTCCCCAGAGCCTCAACCCCCCTGTCGGAGCCGCGGGTGCGGTCAAAGACTGGACCCCACCCCCTCAGCCCCCTGAGGGTCTTCCTCGGCGGGCCCGCGCGGCCCGCCGTAACCTTCAGGTTTTGGCTCGCCACCACTGGGGCTGGATCAAAAACCACTGGCTGTGCTTAGCGTGTCACACTCGTGCCCGCACTGATAGAACCCGCCAAGCCCGTTCGCGAGAAGTGTGCCCTGCCAATTATGCAGCGCTGTCCCAGTTAATTAGAGAGCCCAGGGAGCACCGACTGTTGATTTGCGATTACCTCGATGTCGAGTCCTTTCTCATAATCTGCAAGAGGTGCGGCCGTTATCTGGAGAGCAACCTCGAAGGACTCAGAAGTGAATGCAGCGAGCGCTTCAGAAGCAAGTTCTCTGAAGGTGCGCGGTCTCGGGCGTCAGGCGGCCGTCATCCGAAGGACAACATGAAAGCCCGCCCCCGACTGCCCCAGCCCTTCCCTGCAGCCCAGCTCCTCAAGGAAGGGGCGGCGATGTAGGGTCGAAGAAGGGCGTAAGGGGAGAACGGATGTAATCCCAAGGTTTCGGTTAGGGTCGGGTCGGCCAAACCCTAGCCTTCCTCTTCAGCATGTGATGGTCCTCCTCCTTCTCCTCCTCCTCCTCCCCGTGCTCCTACTTCTGCTCCCCCGCCTCATCCCCGCCTCGTTACCGTTACTCCATGTTCACTCCTCTTCGTCGTCCTCCTCCTCATTTTCCTCCTGCTTTTCCTCCTCCTTCTCCGCCTTTTCCTTCTGTCCCATGTCCTGCTCGTTCTCCTCTCGCCCGTTTGCAGCTACTCCCCGTCCTCCCAACTCCTCCTCCTCCTCCTCCTCCTCCTCCTCCTCCTCCTCCTCCTCCTCCTCCTCCTCCTCCTCCTCCTCCTCCTCCTCCTCCTCCCCCTCCGCCCAGCTGGTCCCAGAGAGGTCTCCGGGAACGGATGGGCAGCTGTTCTCCACCGCCCTGGCAAGCATCGTGGCCCAAAGGGAGCTCCACCCACGGCCCCAGAGGGAATGTTCGCATGGCGTCTTCACGCCCATGTCGGCACACCCCTCACACAGATCGCGCCCTATAGGGAACTCCATCGACAGCTCCAACAGGAAGGGTCGCATGGCGTCCTTCCGCATATTTCTGCACACCCGAGACGCGGATCGCACCCCGCGAACGTCTCCATGCATGGCACCCATGGGCAATTTTGCACGGCGCCCTCCACATCTCTACGCGCGGATCGCGGGGCGCGCTCGCGCGGCGACCACCCCCTTCACGCGGATCGCGCCCCACAGGGGGCTCAGCGTGTCTACGCGCCCTGACCCCAGCAGCCCTCTATCTGGTCTACGCCGCGTCGCGCAGTATTTGAAGAGAGAGAGAGAGAGAGAGAGAGAGAGAGAGAGAGCCGCGCCCTGCGCTACACGCAGCTGCATAGGGGTTGGCCCTTCGCCAGGCCAAAGATCTCTCTTGTCTCTTGCAGTCACACATACATGAGCTCTGACATGTAATCGTGCATGCATACATACATACATACATGCATATGTATACATATCCGCACACATAGGAAACAAGATCTGTGCCGACCAGGCGGCGCCCCAGGAACGGGCCTAGGTTGTGGACCAGAGACATCTCGTAAGGCCGCTTGGGGCCTCTTAGGGGGTCTCCTGGGCGTTTCCTGGGGGCCTCCTGAGGCCTCTTGGAGGCCCTTTGAAGTCTCTCGGGGCCTCTTGGGAGCCTCTTGGGGCCTCCTCGGGGCCTCTTAGGGCCCAGGCTCGAACCCTCTGGGGCCCCTCTCGGGCATGTCCTGGGGCTCTCTTGGGCCGCCCTGGAGGCCTCCTGGGCCGGCTTGGACCTTTCATAGGCCGTCCTGGAGCTCACTTGAGGGCCTGCTGGGCCGTCTCGGGGGCATCTTGGGCCGTCGTGGATGCTGTGGAAGCGGCGAATCTATGCTCACAAATCGACGCTCCCCCAAGGGAACAGAACGGCTTTTACTGTCGGAGGCCCTCTTGGGGGGTCTCTGGGTTTTTTGTTGCCCCAAGGGGGCAATCGATGATCCGCATGTCGATCGAATGTCACCAAACGTGACAGGATATACCAACCACGCTCAGGCCTACGGGAAGAACCAACGCGAGAGAGATCGCCAATTTGCACCTTGAAATACAAAACTTGCAGGAAGGGGTGAACCAACTGCAAAGCGCACGCGAAACAACTTTAGCGAGGAACAACTTGACTCCAAAGAATGTGTGCACCGCCCGCTTTAACACGCGCGCGTGAGAACTGAGACTCGTGATCGACTGAACACCGCCTCAGCCTCGCGGACTGATGGGCAAAGTGGCACCCGTAGCAGGCATCATGCATT